AATACTAAGGTCATGAATTGATGTAGGTACTGCTGCTTCAATAATATTATGAATTTCACATAGCACATGTTAGATCAAGATTCAACTTCAAGTATTTGAATCTCCATTCAAATACTTGATGAACACAGATTATAATGATAAGTATTTTATCATTAACTGCAACAATACTAGTTCATGATGTAGGTACTGCTGTGAATCATAATATCATTATAAACGGTGAATCTTGATGAACAGAGGTTATTGTGAATTATATTATCATCAATTACAACAACAATAAAAAAAATGATGTAGGTATTCCTGTGGATCATGTTCCCATTAATTATAACTGAGCACACCTCTAATGCATTCTTGGAGTTCTGAGACTGAAAACAGATTACAACAAAATTTTGGTGGATATTTGAAGTTAAGCATTGACAATCTTTAGAACAATTTGCCAATTATTCCTACATTATTGTATTCATTTATATGTTATCCTGAGTTAATTTCTCAATTTCTCTTCATATTCTATCCAAATAACTTGGCTCACTTGTATTGGACTCTTGAAGTTCTGAACATAGATTATGCTAAGACTATTGTGAATCTATGAAGCAATGACAATCTTTATGGCAACTTGCAAATTGTTCCTACATACTCATTCATATATACCCCTCACTGGTTAATTTTTCTCTGTAATCAATCTAAGAGATGAATTCCTTCATTAATCAAATAAACCTCATGAACAAGGTTAAACAAATATTTCAACTCAAAGACACGGAAATGTGTCTTTTATTGGGTTTTTTACTTATAAAATTGCGTAATTGAAGCTACTACTTAAAAAAAAGAGAAAGGATAAAAATGAAGTAATTAAAACAAAATAAAGCTGCTAATAAAGTTACTTTTGCTAGACAACGAAACATATAATAAAAGTGATCACCAAAGTAATGAAGAGGGTCTTTATAATGACCTTTGGCTTCTTTTTGAACAGCATTAACAATAGAAGTAGTAATCTGAAGTGATAAACCAAGATGACTAAACTCTTTAGAACCAGATGGGGAGAAGGAAGGAAGAGTACAATGTCTATATTTATTGGCTTGCCAAATCATTTTAACAATACCATGTTTTTTGTCAAAGCTAATACCAGTATGAAAAGAAGGGAAAACAAAAGGACCACCTTTAATATCATAACCAGATTCAGGACCGGCTAATTTGCCAGTAGCAGAGTAGATGGGAATAAACATAACAAAAGCCCACTTGGATATATCATTATTATCTTTATGAGGAGGATTAAAAAAATTATCTGTAGTGAAAGTGAGATGAGGTGAACAGGAATTGGGACTAGGCTTTTCACCAAAGGAAAGTGAATCAAAAGCTGGTAGATTAAAATGTTCCATAAGAGCATGGCTATGCTCAAATGCACAGGAAGACAAACCCCTATAATAATCACCAAAAATTTTGCCAAGATGTTTTGATTGTTGGAAAAGCTTATCAAACTTTTCTACCTTACTTGGAGGAAAAGCTTTGATATATCTTCCGAATTTTTGCATAAAGTCTTGAGACTTTCTCCAACCAATCCCCCACATCTTGCCACCCCCAAGAGCGTGTCGAAGAGCCAACAAGATTGACAAATTCCTTGGATTGATGAAGAAAAGTCAATATGAAGTTGAGGTTTTCTTTATTGGTTTTGGTTAACTGATCCCAAGGGGTGAACTCCATGACCGCTGTGAGAACTCCTTTGGGATGGGTTGGCAGTCCTTGAGGGGGAAATAACAATAATGATATTTCACTAGATAATATTTACTGTTACGGGTGGTTTGAAAGACCTGCTCCTCTATTTACTACACAAGAAATTCTGACAACAACTTCCCTCTCATTGCTGTGCGTACTTATGACAGAGA